AGCAAAATTAATGCAAGGCGATGCAAGGCGATGCAAAGCAACGCAGAGCAACTCAAAGCGATGCAGGTCAGCGCAAGGCAATGCCAAACAGTGCGAAACCGTGCAACACAGCGCAGAGAAACACAACACGCGGCCCAGCGATGCAAAGCGGTGCACACAAATGCAGAGCCGTGCAGCGCAGCGCGATCGCAAAACGGTGCGACTACCATGCAACGGGCGGCATGGCCGTGCAGAGCAACGCACGGCAGCCGGCACAGCAGCGCGAGGCAACGCGACGCAACGAGGAGCAGCGCGAAGCAGCCGGCCGCGACGAGGCGGCGAGGCACAGGACACAAGGGTGCCCTTGAGCTGGCAGGGTCGACCTGCGTACTGATCCGGGCCGAATGTGCGACTTGGGGAAGGAACTGCGCAACAGCGGCACAGTGGGACGGCGGCTTCTTTCCAAAGCGGGGCTCGCGCCGGAGACTTCTCAAATCGCATGAGCCGAATTTAAAAAAATGCGCAGCATTCACACGAATGGAGGGCGGCTCGTTTTCAAAAAAAGAATCTCGCTTGAGACTTCCTCAAACTGGACGACCAAACCTTTCAAATTATGCCCCTGTTAAAGGACGAACGGCACATCCTTTTCAAAACAAATCTCTCGCTGGACACCTCCTTTAACTTTCCTACTCGGCCTCTACGCGCCTACAGATGTACACATCTATATATATATATATATATATATATATATATATATACATACATATAGAGAGAGAGGACAAACACACACACACACACACACACACACACACACACACGCGCGAACACCCACACACATACATACAGAAACACACGTAGCCCAGCAGCCGCTGGAAATGGTCACAAATTCACACAAAGTCTGGAATGGAGTCTCCGCGCTCCGGCATGGCGCATGCCCACGGGAGTGGTCGCACTCTAATTCGTGGGAGCTCATCGCGCCCCATTGCCGCTGCGGGCTCCTCACGGCTCAGCAGGTCAAGGGCCGCCTGGACAGGATGGGGCGGCCGCGCACGGGATGTCCGCCGAGGACCGGCTGGGCAATGCCGCCGCAGACATCAGCGCGGCTACCGCCGCCGGACCTCCTGCAGGCTCGTGGGGTCACGCTGCACCTGGACGCTGCAGGCGACGCTGGCGGAGGTCGAGCTGGCGGCGCTCAAGGCCAACCACGGAAGCGCCGGGCAAGCGCCGCCGCGCGTGCGGCGCCACTGCCAGGGGCGCGCAACCACGCACTAGCGATCCCATGGATTCGGCGCGCGGCCGCCGAATCCACGGATCGGGTGCCCGTGCCGCCTCGTGCGGCGGCGGAAATCCGCGACTTCCCACGGAAGCGGGCCCCGTCGCCAATCCACGCCCCCTTGATCCACGTCTGCGCTCGCCCGGCGCTGGGCCGCGCCAGGGCCACGGCGCCGCGAGCCCCGCGTGGGCGGCGGCGCCGCGGCGGCGGCCGCCGCGGCCAGGCGTGCACTGCCGTCGGCGCCGAGCCCCAGCACCGCCGCGGCGGCGCGCGCACTCCGTCGCCGGCGGCGCCCGGCGGGCGCACTGTCGCCTCGCAGGGGCCCAGGGTGGGTGGCTGGTGCATGAGATGCGGCTGCGGGGCCCCCGCCTGGGAGAGAGGCCCTCTGGATGGGGTCCGAGTGGATAGGGTCGGGAGATCGCACCGCATGGCCGATGCATCGGCGATGCATCGGCGATGCGCCGGCGATGCATCGGCGACGTGGGCGATGCATCGGCGACGGCGGCTTGAGGCAAATCGGGCGCCACGTCGAGCCGCATCGGCGATGCTTCGGCGATGCGGCGCGATCCTCCGAGCCCAGCTCCGCCGACCCCACCCAGGAGGCCTAGATGGGAGCTCCCAAAGGGTCTGCAGACGGGGCGCTCAAGGAAGGGGGGCGTACCGCAGGGGGCAGGCGCCAGGACGCTCGGCTCAAAGACGATTCCAAGTGGCCCAGGCGCGCACTGCAGCAAGCTGGCCAAGAACCTCCTGTTTGGACGCCCGAGATGGGTACGGAAAAAACTGGTACAATGCCCAACAGCAAATGTTGTCCAAAGCCATCAGCGGCCGCTGCTGGGCAGGCGGCCTGCTGTCTCAAGTGCACACAAGCCGCGGCGACACCGGCAGCGAGTCCTCTTCAAAATGAAGAGGAACTGCTGTTGGGCATTGTACGCGTTCTCTCCGTGCCCGTCTCGTTCGTGCCGATCCTGGCCAGCCACCCACCTGCGCCCGCTGGGCACTGGCTTTCCCGCCGCGGGCAGCGGGCCCGCTCCTGCCTCCGAGCAGCAAGGCGCGCAAAGGCGGCGCGGAGGCGACGCGGCGGGGCACCCCCGGGGCGCGCCGGGAGGCCCGCCCAGGGGGCGCCGGACGGACCTGGTGCACGCTGCAGGGCTGCGGGCGGCGCGCCTGGCCTAGCTCTCCCCGCCCCCCCCCCTCCCCTGCTTCTTGCCCCTCTGCCACAGAGCTCCGCTGGATGGTAAAGAGCGCACCCTGGTAACGCCTCTCACGCAGGTAGAGGCCACCCGGGTGCAGCTCGCTGTGTGGAGCGTCGTGTGTTGGCCGCGCCTCCTCTCGTGCCCTCTCCCCAAGGGTGCATCCCTGAGGCTCTCGGAATTCCAAGAAGGCTCTCAGATGGTCGTCCGAAGACTTGGTTTCTTGAGGCTCGATAGTCGGACCCCGTCCCCAGACATGTTCACAACCTCCAAGAGGTACTCCGTGACATTTTCAGTGTGCCGTTGCACAGTTATTGTGCCAAGAAGTGATCTGAGTTCTCAATCATTGAAAAAGACTTTGCGTCTGTTTCACAGGTGTGCCTGCGACTGCGTCGGAGATCCGCGCCTGCGCCACCCCGCGAAACGCCGAGTGGGAGGAGGAGGAGGAGGAGGAGGAGGAGGCGGAGGAGGAGGAGGAGGAGGAGGCGGAGGAGGAGGGGGAGGGGGAGGAGGAGGAGGAGAGTCGCGAGGAGGCGACAGCTGGGGCCACCATGTGGGCCTGGGGCCACCCCTGGCGGCACCCGGGGCTACACGCGTCGATCCCCAGCCCGGGCGCCCAGAACTCCGACTTGGTGCCCGTTTCACGGGGCCGGCGCCCCCGTGATCGACATAATCCAGATTTCGTAATAAAAGGGAGGGGGTCTGGACCCTCCAAGACAAGCCATTTCAGAGCTCCCCCGTGGGAGAACCCTCCAAAACATCGTCCCCAGACCCCCCAGGCCCTCCAAGATAGCCTGGAAGAGACCCCCCCCAAAATGAGACCCCCCTCCCTTTATTTCGAAATCTCAAGTACTTCTTCCCCAGGGGGATGCCCGGTGACGGCCCCAGGGCCTGCCAGGGCCGCGGAGTGCCGAGGGCTGCGGGGACGGGGCCAGGCGGGAGCTCGCGGCGGTGGACGCACCTCCCTTTTGGCAAAGCACCCTTCAGTTGAGACGGACAGACAGACACTCCCGCGCGTTGGCACCAACTGGGGTGCAGCGGGTGTGGCGCCGGAGCGCCGTTCAGCGTGGCGATCTCACAACATAACCTTGGAGGAGGAGGAGGAGGAGGACGACGACGAGGAGGTGGGGGAAAATAGGTGCTAGCCGCATGGTCCGCTCATCCTTGGTGTCGTACAGAACCATTTAGTTAAGGAGGAAAAAAAGGCAGTAAGACGCTCGAACGTAAACTTGTTTGCGCCCTCCTCGCAGGGGCCGCGCATTCGCTCGTAAGGCGGCGTATATTTCGCAGCCTCGGGGGTGAATCATTTTCAAATCATCGACGGGCCTGGGACGGGCTGGGACCAAGATCGACGGGCCTGGACCCGCAAAAACGACGGCCGCGACGCCCTCTCGCGAACCAAAACGGCCAGTTCCTTAATCGACGTGTCAGGGTAGGAGGTTTAACTTCTTGGCGATGCGAGGGGTCTGGGGTCGAAGATGCCTCTGAGCAGGGTCGGATCGTCCCGCGGCCAAGCTGAAAAAGCTACGAAAAATTAGATGGCGACGACCTCTACAACGACGATGACGACGACGACCACGACGACGGCGACGACGACGACGACGATGACGAAGACGAAGACTGCGACGACGGTGACGACAGCGACGACGACGACGACGACGACGACGACGACGACCCCTCCCTCTCCCTCCCTCCCTCCCTCCGTTCCTCGTCCTCCTCCTCCTCCTCCTCATCCTCATCCTCCTCGTCCTATGCCTGCTCGTCATACATCTCCTCCTTTTCGTCCTCCTGCTCGTCCTCGTGACTCTTTCTTTATGTTCCTCCTCCTCCTCCTCCTCCCCCTCCTCCTCCTCCTCCTCCTCCTCCTCCTCCTGGTCATCCTCCTCCTACTCCTTTTCCTCCTCCTCCTCCTCCTCCTCCTCATCCTGGTCCTCCTCCTCCTCCTCCTCCTCCTCCTCCTCCTCCTCCTCCTCCTCCTCCTCCCGCTCCTCCTCTCCCCCCCGTTCCTCCCTCCCGCGCGATAGACCAGGGGTCTACTGAGACGCCCGGGTGCCTCTTGAGGCCTCCTGAGGCCTCCTGGGGCCTGCTGAGACCTGCAGGAGCCTCCTGTTGCCTCCTGCAGCCTCCTACAATTTCCTGGAGCTTCCTGGGATCTTCTGCGGCATCCTGAAGCTCCCAGGGGCCTGAGGCCACCTGGGACCTATCGGGCCTCCTGGGACCTCCTGGGGCGCTGTGTGTCCTCCCGGGGCCTCCTGGGATCTCCTGGGCCTCCTGCGACCTCCTGAGCTTCCTGAGGCTTCCTGGGACCTCCTAAGGCCACAGGAGCACCCGAGAGACACCGTTCCAGTGAGCGGCTCCCTAAGTTGCTGTGCGATTTGCCTTCCCCTGACCGTCCTGGCGGGCCCTCCAACAAGCCCACCCGGGGCCTTCAAAATGACGACAGTCTGGAGGATGGGAGCCTCTCCGTTGAACAGGGGCAGCAGGAGCAGGAGGACACGTTGGAGGGTTGGAGCAGGAGCAGAAGGAGGAGGAGGAGGAGGAGGAGGAGGAGGAGGAGGAGGAGGAGGGGCAGGAAGGGCAGGAGGGAGAGGGGGAGGGGGAAGGGGAGGGGGCCTGGTGAAAATCCAAAAGTAGCGACAAATGGAACAACTGAGACCCCGAACCGTCTCGGACGCCCAGCGGCGCGAAGCCGGAATTCCCCCGGCACGTTGCGATTTACCCGCCCCCCGATGTCCCTTCCTGGCCCCAGGCCAGAAGGTGGGCTCGGCTGGCTGGGTCAGTTGGCTGGTTGGGCTGGCTGGGTTGAGCTGGCTGGGGCAACAGGTTCCCATTACAGCTGGAAGGAAGGGGGGGGGGATCAACTCCTGAACGGAGTATCGCCTGAATGGCGTACCCGCCAGGCGCCTGTCTGTCAGGGGGAGGGGCGCTGCCCGCAGTGGGGAGGAAGACGCGCAGTGACTAACTGGGCGACTTAGCATCGTTGGCGCATCCTGGATTTACTCTGGTCCTCCTCCTCCTCCTCCTCCTCCTCCTCCTCCTCCTCCTCCTCCTCCTCCTCCCCCCACCTCGTCCTCCTCCTCCTCCTCCTGCCCCTCCTGCTCCAATATCCTGCCCCACCCCCCCACCCATCCACATCCGCCGCGGTACATCCGAGCCCACTTTCACAGCTCCTTTCCGTGCAAGGGAGGGCGACCTTCTAAACCACTTACAGCCAAGAAGGAGTGGGACACTTGCCAAGATATTAATCTGCGCTGACTGGGCATCCTCGCATGAAACGCTTCATATCGATACTTCCCTTGCCTGGCCGTGCAACATACGCTGATCCGTTTTAGTCGGTTCCGTCATCTGCTTGATACTTCTGGATAATTATCACGTCGCCTCCTCCCTTCTTTTGGATAGCCATAGACAGCAAGCAACACGCAAGCGGCAAGGCTCATAGTGTTAGGTCGGGCATGTCCTCCTACAGGCTGATTTTGGTCGAAACCAATAGTCAAAACAAGATACCCCAAAATAGTCGGACATAATCGAAAAAAACGTCCACTGTTTATTTCACACTTTTTTGCATATTCTCCTGTAGAGGGACGTGCCCGACTTACTCATAGTCATGTCAGTGAAACTGCAAAAGTAGAGGCATCCTAGATGGGATCGGAGTGGATGGGGTCGGAGGATCGCGCCGAATTGCCGCTACATCGGCGATGCATCGGCGATGCATCGGCGATGCATCGGCAATGCACCGGCGATGCACCGTCGACATCGGCGATACATCGGCGACGTCGACGTGAAGCAGATCGGGCTCCACATCGAGCCGCATCGGCAATGTATCGGCGATGCGGTGCGATCCTCCGACCCCATCTAAGAGGCCTAGACAAAGGCCAGAGAAGCAACTGCAAACGGTGCCGGTGCCTCGCCGTAGTACTGCACCCTCGCACGCTGCACGGGCACCTCCGCGGCCGACGGCGCCTTCCGGTACAGGTAGACCCCCTGGGCAGCCGCGCTGGGAAGAGCAAATAAAGAAGGCCCCCCGGCATGTTCCTCAGAGGAGGGAAAGGTACCCATACCGCTACCCTTCGGCCGTTTTCCCCTTTTTGGGCCTCCTGGGAGGCCTTCGTCGCCACCATTGGACTCGCCTCGAGATCCTGGTCAGAACGCACCCCAGGAGAGGTCCAGGGAGTAAAGGTATCGGTACCTTTCTAAATCCCATTTTCTGGGATGTTACCAAAGGCCTCTGGACTCTGCAGATCCCGCAAGCAGCAGGTCCCCACATGAGACAAAGCCAGGACGAGGATACATTCGGGTGAGGATAAGTCGGGAATATCTGAAATCTGGCAACTCTGGAAGATGTCTCGGGCGCCGCAGCCTTCCCAGAGCGTTCTGGAACGCTCTGAGAGCGTTCCGGAATACTCTGGAACGGATGTATCCTCGTCCTACAGTAAACCCGTACAGTAAGGATGCGCTGTAAGGATGCAAGGGCCTTGGACGCCCATGCCGAGGCTCTTCGAGCGGGGCTGACCTTCGAAAGCGGTTGAGGACGGGCCGAAGATGGCGGAAGAGGCAAGGATGCAAGGGTACCCTTGGGAAGTCGCTCATCCTTCCTGTGCGGGTTCACTGTAGCCCCGCCCCACCAGATCGGGAGCGAAGAGACAACCCCAACCGCAGGGCTGAAGGAACCACCCCTGCAGGCCGAGCCTGGCCACCCAGCGGTGACGACCTGCGCGCGGCGCCCGGTGTCGAGAGCCGCGCGCAGGTCATCACCGCTGGCGGGGCGGGGCGCCCGCCTTGGGGGGGGGGGCGCCACGTGCGATACCCTCATCCCCTCTGCATCCGTGGCCAGAGGCCGTGGAAGGTTTCTGGGATCCTCCTCCTCCTCCTCCTCCTCCTCCTCCTCCTCCTCCTCCTCCTCTTCCTTCTCCTCCTCCTCCTCCTTCTCTTCCTCCTCCTCCTCCTCATTTTCCTTCTTCTCCCCCCTCCTCCTCCTCCTCCTTCTCCTCCCCCTCCTCCTCATCCTCCTCCCCCTCCTCCTCCTCCTCCTCCTCCTCCTCATCCGATGTCATCCTCCTCCTCCTCCTTCTCCTCCTCCACCAGCCCCCGTGTGGGGCCACCAGGCTGCGAGAGTCGGGTTTCAGCAACGTGCGGCAGGAGCTCACCACAAGAAGCCGTCCACCAGAAACCCGACCCTGATACCCCGGGACGTCCACCCATTCTCGGTGTGGGAACGCCACGCTTTCCATAGCAAAACCATGGAAACCCAAGAAACCCAGGGCACTCTGGAGGCAAGCAGGGTGTCTCTTGATATGGGCTGCCACTGCAGGCTACGAGGGTCGAGTCTCAGCAGCGTAGGTACCGGTCCTGAGCTCCTCGACCCCAGACACCAGCTCCAGTACAGTCTCCAGCCTAATGTTCCAGCTCCACTTCCTGCGTCCTACTGGAATTTGTGACTGATCCGCGCGAGGGGGGGGAGCCGAAAAGGAAAACGTTCAAATCCTGCTGAGACAACACAGGCATGTTGCTGGACCCAGACCCCCGAGGTCGTGATCTTTTCACAACGCCGACCCCAAGAGGTCCAGGCCCCTTCCCCGGGACCTTGTTTTTATCCTGAGTCGTTCTTTGACGGTCCCGAGGCCCCGTAGGGGGCCCAGGAGGCCGAAGGTAGCGAAAAACCTCCCGTCGTGATTGTTCCACAGCGCGAGGGGATCCCGGGAGGGGGGGCGATCCGAAGGGGAAAATGTTCGATCTCCTCCAGTAGAGGCCTCCTTTATGGGGTCGGAGTAGATGGGGCCGAAGGATCGCGCCGCATCTCCGAAACATCGGCGATGCATCGGCGATGCATCGGCGATGCACCGGCGACGTCGGCGATGCATTGGCGACGTCGACGTGAAGCAAATCGGGCTCCACACCGAGCCGCACCGCGGATGCATCGGCGATGCGGCGCGATCCTCCGACCCCATCCACTCGGACCCCATCCGGGGGGCCTAGAGATCTGGGTCGGGCCTGTCCCTTTACAAGGGGATTTTGGGCGAAAACAAATAAGATTATGTACATATATATATATATATATACACCTATAGATTCGAAAATAATCAAGAAGTCCCCTGACTATGTTTCTGACTATTTTTACAAATATTCCTCCTGTAGAAGGACACGCCTGACTTGAGCCTTCAGATCCAGAGACTGCAGCGGGCCGAGGCCGGAGGCGGGAGGCCGGCGGCGGGCGCCCGGGGCAGCAAAGCCGGCGCGAGGGAGGAGACAACGACCTGGGCTTGCGCTCCACGCGGCAAGCCGTGCTGTTCCTCCTCCTCCTCCTCCTCCTCCTCCTCCTCCTGGTCCTCTTCCTGTTCCTCCTCCTCATCCTCCTCCTCCTCCCCCTTCTCCTCCTCCCTCCTCCTCCTCCTCCTCCTCCTCCTCCTCCTCCTCCTCCTCCTCCTCCTGGTCGTCCTGGTCCTCCTCCTCCTCCTCCTGGTCCTCCTCTCCTCCTGGTCCTCCTCCTCCTCCTCCTCCTCGTCCTCCTCCTCCTCCTCCTGGTCGTCCTGGTCCTCCTGGTCATCCTCCCCCTCCTCCTCCTCCTCCTCCTCCTCCTCCTCCTCCTTCTCCTCGTCCTCCTCCTGCTCCTGCTCCTCCTCCTCCTCATCCTCCTCCTCCCGCTCCTGCGCCTGCTCCTGCTCGTCAGGAGGAGGAGGAGGAGGAGGAGGGGGAGGAGGAGGATCGATCGATCGAGCTGTCAGGCCGGTTCGGTGCTACGTTCGCTCTGGGCTCTGCGCTGCTTTACAAAAACCTAGTGGCCTAACTGTGATGTCCTTGCCGAAAGGGGGTCGCAGGCGCCATTTGACGCTCGGGCCCTTCCTGCACCGGCCTCCCATACGCAGGGGGTCGCGGGCAGGGTAGCACCCGCTTTTACGAGTGCCCTCTTGCTCGCTCCTCTTCCCCCCTGCTCGGTCCTCCCATCTCCCATCCCCTGGCGGATTTTCGGCGAGAAATTGAAAATTAACAACAAACATAACCCAACATTGTCAAACATGACAGAGAAATCCTCCTGTAGAGGGACACGCCCGACTTAAGAGTAAGGGGTAGGAGAGCGGCTAGCGGGGGGAGGGGAAGCAGGAACGAGGCTGGATGGGGGGGCACCGATTGGAACAAAAGGCGCGGGATCCGAGGACTTGGAAAGCGTGAGCTCGGCCTGCTGTGCGTCACCAGCATGGCAGCGGAGAGGAGAGTGGGGGACGGGGGATCGAAACGAGAAAGGGGTGGGGGTGAGTCTCCACTATGGTCGGGCCTCCTTCTGCAAGAGCGAGAGCGCGTCCGCGTCACCGACGTTTGACTCGTCCTGCGAGAACGCATCGTCGTACAACCCATCCTTGGCAGCAGTCCTCCTCTACCGCCACCTCCTCCGACCCCACCTCCTTGTCTTGCTGATCCTGCTGATGTCCCTCCTCCATTTTGTACATTCAACGTCGATGTACGTGCACCAGCGGGGCCCATCAGACAGCAAGAGAAAGACAAGACGCAGGGCGAACGAGCCCGCCGAACCAGGTCCAAGGAGCCAGCTTAGGGTAGAGGAGCGGTGATCCGCAGCAGTGGAAGACAGGGGCAGCCGACGGGAGGAGGACGAGGACCCCGCGTGGCCAACTCCAAAGCCCCAGGCCCAGCAGGCACCGTGGCTTGCCGTTGGGTCCAACCGCAAAGCCCGCGCCCGGCCCGTCGGTCGAGGGAGGCGCCCGAGGCCTCACAGGAAGCCACCAGGTCGTGATCATCGACATCTGGGCCCTGGGGCCCCAGGGCCACTCTCTCTGGGACTACAGAACCCTTCTGGGACTCCAGGGCCCCTCTCTCTAGCCAAAGCCCAGCTCTCTGGGCCTCCAGAGCCTCTCTGTCTGAGACCTCAAGGCCCCCCCCCTGGGACCCCAGAACCCCTGCTCTCTAGGCCCGAAGCCCTTGTTTCCCGGACTCCAGATTAAAAACTCCCCCACTGGTCCCCTGAAGCCCTTCCATTCTCTCTCTCTCTCTCTCTCTCTCTCTCTCTCTCTCTCTCTCTATATATATATACATATACCTCTGACTGTGTCTCTTGCGTCTGCCTCTGGCATTGCGTCTGTCTCTCTCGAACTCTGTCTATGTCTCTGTTTCTGTCTCTGTCGACGTCTGCCTTCGCCGACGTCTCTGTTTATGCCAGTCTATATCTAGATACAGATGTATGCTGATCGTTCTCTCTCTCTCTCACTCTCTCTCTATTTCTCCCTCTCTGCGTCTCTCTTTCTCATTTGAGTGCTCTCTCTCTCTCTCTTTTTCATTGTTCCCTCTCTGTTCTCTCTCTCTCTCTCTCGTTATCTTTTTGTTTCGCTCTCTCTCTCTCTCTTTCTGACCTCAGAGCTGGCCCCGCTGTCTGGCACCAAAGGGCCCCTCCCTCCAGATCCTTTCCCAGGGCCCCTCTTGTACTCATGAGCCCATGTATGTATGTGTGTATACCCTTATGTAATTATGTGCGTATGTATGTATGTATGTATGTATGTATGTATGTATGTAAACGTGTATTGATGTATGTGTGTATGCATGTATGTATGTATGTTTGTATCAATGTATGTATGTGTATGTATGTATGTATGCATGCATGCATGCATGCATGTATGTATGTATATATGTATGTATGTGTATATATATACACATATGTATGTATGTATGTATGTATGTATGTATGTATGTATGTATGTATGTATGTATGCGTGTATGTGTGTATCATGTGTGTTGGTATGTCTCTCTTGTTCTTCTCTCTCCCTCTATCTCTCCCTGGTACACAAGAGTGCGTCCCTCTGGGAGCCCAGACCCCTTTCCCCTGCCCAAGTACACGAGAGAAACTCTGTCTATCTCTCTCTCTCTCTCTTTCTCTGTCCACCCCTCTCTCGTTCTCCATCTCTCGAGTTTCCTCTTTCGTTTGTGTTTGCTATATCTCTATCTCTCTTGTGTTCTCTCTCTCTCTCTCTCTCGCGCTGCGACCCCACTGACCAAGGGTCCCTCTGTTTCTCTCCCCCTCGTTGTGCCTGTTTCTGTAGTTATGTATGTATATATCGTTTGTTGTTTGCTGCGTGTTGTTGTTTACCTTTCTCTTTCTCTCTTTTTCTCCCCTTGTTTCTCTCTCTCTCTCTCTCTCTCTCTTTCTCTTTATATATATATGTACATATATATATGTACATAAACACATATACATATATATAATAATATATATTATATATATATATATATATATATATATATATTACCACCGGGCCTACTTTGTCTCGAACCCCGGAGGTCCTGCCCATAATGGTCCCAAATAGCCTCCAGCACGCCCCCAAAACGCCTTCAAACCGTCCCAACTCGGCCCAACGGAACCTCCCAGGGAACTCCGATTGAAGCAAACAAACTTCAAAAGCGTTGTAGCTGAATGTGTTTGGGCTTCTCGCGCCTTCACTTGCGATGGGTTCTCGACGCCCCAAAATGGCCCCAAAACGTTGCAATATGGCCCCAACAGGCGCCCAGGAAGGCCCCAAGAAAGGCCAAGAGCGCCCCGAGAGGGCACCAAACGGCGACGTATGAGGGCCCCGAATAGAGCACTGTAGCCTGCCGTCCCGTCCTTCTTCGAAACGATGCCCTCCAAGATGCCCCCAAGAACGCCTTCGACGCATCGATGGGGGCCCACGGAAAATCTTATACAACCCCCGACGAATCCAATGGGCCTCCACAGTTGCAGCAACAAGGGCCCACGATGGCCCCGAAAAACTTGCAGGATGTTCCCAAAGCGAAACATGTCGTCGTCATCGCCACCACCGCCGTCTGATTGGTCATTTCCATGTTATTGTCGATTTGCCTTTCGCCCCCACCTCCTCGTCCGGTTCTTCCTTCCCGTCTTCGCCCCTTCTGCTCATGTGTTTCGTGTATTCATTCGCCCTCCCTCCTTGCCAAGAACGAACCGAGTAACGACTGTCCCCGTCTTTGTTGCACTGCGTGCCCCTACACCTCCCGATCAAAGCAATTCGCTTCAACGTCGTCTCTGGATGGGCTGGCGGGGATATTTTTGTTGGTCGCGACCGTAGCGACAAATCGCTAGGCGTCAAGTCGACACGCGGCTAACGACAAGCGGACGAATTGAACACGAAGCACGCAAGAGCGAATTACGCTGCGGCTCAGAGGGCGAAATCGACGCTGGTGTTCAAGTCGAACACGCCGAAGCCGTCGAAGACCAAGGGGATGCTGGCCCGAATGCAAGCCAAAATGGCGAAGAAATTCATGCCCGGGAACACGTCCGGGAAGAGGACCGCGATGAGTCCGCAGAGGGCAGCGTGCAGGCGCTCGACGTACACGAGGAGCACCGAGAGGGAGGCAAACGCGGAATCCGCGGCGGAAGGTCGACGGCAGCGCCGAGCAACACCTACAGCGAGGCGGCAGGCGGGGCTCAACGGGCGCATGGGGAGCGCAGGCCCGACGTCGCTGAACGCGCGAGCGGCGTCCGCCAAGGCTGGCGGGGATACGCGGAGCTTCAAGGATTCCTGTGATTATGATGCGCTTTAGCGCAATGGCCAAAAGGAAGCCCCTTTGAGCCAAAATGGCTTGAGCCAACATGGCTACGAATGGCGCATATACACACGCGGCGCACGCACGATCTCACACCCGTGAAACCTTATCACTGGCTAGCCGGCAGACCGCGCAGCACCGCTGGTCTCAGGAAGCCTCTAGGGGCAGTAAGAGGAGCACTCCCATGCTGGGATTGCTCAAGCCAAAGGCAGCCAGGACTCAGCCACTCACTTCCCCGACGGGATAGCATTCACCCTGGCCCTCGCCAGTTGTTTATTGACCTTCTTTTAAAGTAGGTTCAGGGCCCGGGGTCACGTCATGCGAACTTGCCCGTGAGATCTTAACAGGGAAATCCGCAGGCATATTCTTCGCCCGACAATCAACGGCCATAATACTTGCATCAACCCATCGGAACTAATCACAAAATATGCGTGGATGTAACAAATGTACAGCTTCCGTTCCAATAATCCAAATACCCTGTCTTAAACTACCCAAAACGACACTCAAAGGCTTATCTTCTGTATTACCCATAGTTGGTGCTATGAGATGTTCCTCAATGTGTCTGCAATATGTCACCCATCAGTGTCCCATAGGCATGGCGGATTTGTCTTCCCAGATGGTTGGCCGCTTCTCCCCTGCGCCAAGCATCCCACGCGCATCTGCGATGGCGGCGCGAATGCACGTGCCGGAATCTACTGGCCTTAAACAAGCCAGGGTCTCTGCTTGTAGCGTAGATTAGCATGCGCTTTGTTTAACTCTACTAGATATACAGATAGGGTGAACATGATCACTGTTCCTCTCGATGAATCCAGGCCCTGCGAGCACATTGGAAGCAGCCCTCTGCGACCTGAGAGGCTCTATTCTACCCTTGACTACATCCTCTTCTTCTGCCCAGCTGGCATCAGCAACAGCAAGAACGATCAGATCTCGCTTCCACTTAACAGCTCCACCTTCGAATACTCAACCGCAGTCAACGGACTCAGTTGCTTCTTCTAATGCACGGCTGGCTTCCTAAAGGCGGAGTACCCTGACGCGACGCGCTGCAGTCTGCAGTCTGCTCACACGATACAATAGCTCAGGCTTGCACTGACGCGTAAGCCATGACAAACCTACGGCAGATCTACGCTGTGCTGCCCCACCCTCATTGCATTGTCTCGGGAAGGGACTGTCTTTAGGATAGGATGCAGCTTCGATGTTTCTCAATGTGTTCCGCGGTCGCGATGCCCCCCGTTGGAAAAACTTCGAAAACGCAATAACGAGAATTATCCGACTTGATCTCGCGGATATCAAACTCTGCTAATACCGAATCGATGATTCTCTGACTTCTCATCATCTGTAGCCCGCAGTATATCATCCACACGTGTATCTAACATACACGTGACCTCGTTCCTGTCTTTCCATACTGAACAAAGCAGGCATGATACGATTTTCCCTTAGACCATAAGCATCAAGCTTTCTGGGAATTTTCCCCCGCAAACCTCGCCCTGCATCGCGCGTGTCATAGACAGGCGTACGCGCGAAGAGCGCTCCACCATCCGGTACTCCTTCGAGCCCGTCGGGCGGTGGCTTGAGCGGCACGAGGCGGTCGACTTCCTGCCCCTGGACGCGCGCAGATGCAACGTCGGCGCACTTGAGCGTTTTCTTCGCGCCGGCAGCCCATGACGCCATCAATCTTAGCCCTTCTAGTTCGCGCGTTTGGGAACCCGCGCGGAGACACAACGACTCTACCAAATCTCCACGCACGACAAGTCTACTCTTGCACTGCGGCGCAACCAAGGTACACCCGGTCTACGAAGATGGTCTTTCTTGTCA